ACACACATCAATTGTGTAAAGCGCATTTGTACATCGTTTCTCAAGACATTTTCTCTCCATTTAAACCCCTGACATTAGGTCCTCATTTTTCCCCTCCCTCCCCCTATTGTTATATATAGTTACATATGCACATGCCTGTTTTAGACCTCCATAAATGTCCTTTGCCTCCTAGTTTTTCCTCTATTTCCTTTTATTTTCCTCTTGTCCCACTATCATGTTTGGCCTTCATTCAGGTTTCAGTCATTTCTCTCGGCTACACTGCCCTTGATTAAGCACCCCCAGGCATCCTATGCCCTCCTTGCCATCGATTTTAGATCAGTCGTTGTTCCCTTGTCTCTGGGTGAGCCTTCCCATTTTTATAGCATCTACCTCTATGCTTTGAACTTATCTAGACTGATCTTATATGGCTTTTATAGTTTTCTCTTTAAAAGATATGTCCACAAAACTTTGTTCAAAGTTTCAACCAAGTTAATATCCATCACATTTGAAAGGTGATTAATGAATAATAATGCTAATACAATAGCACCCATCGTCTTCACTGTAACACTAAATGTGATTATGAGAAGGGGACCGAGTGCCCGACTAATCCACTCCGAGTTCCCAGCAACATGCTGCACGCATCTGCTGTATCACTGAGCTTCAGAAGAGCAAGGAACCCTGCCGGGACAAGATGCACTGCACCCAGACTGAAAGGCCTGCTGAACCCTGTGTCTGGGGAAGCCAGTCTCACTGGTAACACAGTGAAAAGAGGACTTTCGAGGAAGCACAGGCTACGTGACTCGGTGAGTCGGCCCAGCCAGGCTCTGGGCTCACCTCATACTTGGCCAAAGTGTTTGAAGCATCCCCTTGGGTCGCAGAAGAAGCTAATGAAGGGAAACCACGAGATGTTTTCACGAGTTCATCAAAATTGTTTTCATCCGGCACTTCAGGAGTAACAAAAGATAATGCTGGTTTATCTGGGTTTGGGAGAGGAAAAGTATTTTAAATCAGCATAAAATACAATATGTATAGTATGTATTCCCCATCTAATATTTTGAAAAGTCTTTAGTAGCATTAAAACTGATGAGAAAAGACAGAGTCTTTTCTATGTTCATACTGAATCTCTGTTAAATACAGAGGCTCCCCAGCCCTCACCTGCTTCTCCAACAGTGTGGAAGCAATGGTTTCTAGGAGGCTTAAGTCCTGACTCTTCTTCTAGCCCATCCATCCAAGGGGAGTGCTCTCGGATGGTCTGGGAAAGAAAGAATCCCATTTCAACTTCACAGCCCCTTTCCAAATCCTAAGGCATAAAGTGCTGGGTTCAAAGAAGGGAGACGGCTGGTGTGGGCACTGGGCTGCGCTGTGTGTCAGGGGCATAAGGACGACTGACCAGGCTACTCTCGGGCCACGCGCCCAAGTGTTCAATCACAAAATACCCAAGGGCTTCCTAAGGTCTGTGGAAAAATAGAATGGAAAGATAATGCAATTTTCCCACTAACTTTTTTTAAATCATTTTATTGGGGGCTCGTACAACTCCTTATCACAATCCATACATACATCCATTGTGTCAAGCACATTTGTACATTTGTTGCCATCATCATTTTCAAAACATTTTCTTTCTACTTGAGCCCTTGGTATCACCTTCTTATTTTTCCCCCCTCCTTCCCTCCCTCATGAACCCTTGATAATTTGTGTTATTATTTTTTCATGTCTTACACTGTCCAATGTCTCACTTCACCCACTTTTCTGTTGTCCATCCTCCTGGGAGGGGGTTATATGTCGATCATTGTGATAGGTTCCCCCTTTCTTCCCCCACCTTCCCCTTACCTTCCTGGTATCGCTACTCTCAATATTGGTCCTGAGGAGGTTACCTGACCTGGATTCCCTGTGTTTCCAGCTCTTATCTGCACCCGTATAAATGCTCTGGTCTAGACAGATTTGTAAAGTAGAATTGGAGTCATGATAATGGAGGGGAGGAAGCATTAAAGAATTAGAGGAAAATCACAAGGTTCAACCTAGAACCTCCTCCCAGAGGGACAAATAATGGAAAAGTGAGTGAGGGGCGACAGATGACGATGTAAGATATGGGGAAAATAATCGATAACTTATCAAGGATTCGTGAGGGAGGGTGGGCAGGGGAGGGAGGGGGAAAATGGGGAGCTGATATCAGGGGCTCAAGTGGGAAGAGAATGCTTTGAAAATGATGATGGCAGTATATGTGCAATTGTGCTTGACACACTGGATGAATGTATGGATTGTGATAAGAGATATAAGAGCCCACAATACAAGTATTTAAAAAAAAGAAAGAACTAGAGGGAAATTGTATGTTTCATCAGTGTTATACTGCACCCTGATTGGCTCATCTCTTCCTTTTGACCCTTCTCTAAGGGGATGTCCAATTGCCTACAGATGAGCATTGGGTCTCCACTCCACACTCCCCCTCTCCCCCACAAACTTTTTGAAGCCCCTTCATTTAAAGACACTATGAAAAGATAACAAACAAGTTCAATAAATGAGTTGACCCTTGGACTTCAAGGTGTTGATCATGTTTCACACCTACACGTACTTTGGACCCAGACACCAATTTGAGGCAAATGCTCAGATAAAAATAAAAGTCCTGTTTTCATGCAAATATTCTTAGTAAAAATAAAAGAGGAAAAGGAAATCAAAACCACAAGTACCGTTCAAAGCTGAACCTGATTCTCAACCATTAAACCAAGAGTGGGGGGAAAAAGCAGCACCGCCATTTATGTAAGTAAATCTGGGTTCTTATCTGTGGCTACATATTATGAACACTTATAAAATCAAATATGAGATCCCAGAAGGCAAGCACAATTACGTTTCAAGAAGAGGTGTGCACCCACTAGCAGAGTTGACGTCAGCTGTTAAGCGGTAGTGAAGAATTTCCTATGTGAAGTAACACTGTTCATGAGCAAGTAGTAAGTGTGCCCGTGCTTACCTTGCTTGTTGGGACACCCACCACTGTGCGTGACTCACTGCTCTGAGGCCCCTGGCGGGTGCCTATGAACTAACCTCAGAAAATGCACCCTCCCCAAGCTCTAAGAACTTAGCCAGAAAGTCACTTTAAAAGCAACAGTTGCCCAGAACTTCACAAGATAGTCCAATGTCAAATACTTACTATTTGTAATATGAATACAGAAAATCGATGGGTTGATCCTTGTAACAATTTTAAATATCCTTTGGGGTGGACTGGCTGTAAGATTCATGGAGTAGGTGGCTGCTTTCTGACTGCAAAACTGGCTATCACCCCTACAAACAGAGATGAAAACACAACAAAGCCTTAAGGCATACGCACACAATGTTAGCAAGATTATTTCAAATCTGTCAGATACCTACCTGTCCTGTGCTCAGGGTTAACAGCTACACTGAGGAGATTTACGAAGGTGTGATGTGAGAGCAGAATCCACTTGTATTGCGTTTATTCAATGTTGAAATGTTTGGCATTTGAAACTTTTCTCTCTCATGGGGAAAAAAATTTTAAGACCAGGGAAATAATCTGACAGAGACTTTTGGAGAGTGTGAAATTGTTTGAGGCACAATTTCATGTAAATAAACCCAGTAAATTCCAACAGACTCCATTCAAGACATGTTTGAGGAACTTAAGCTTGTTTATAACTACTTGTCTTCAGGATAAGACTGTTTTCAAAGATTGTGAAAAAATGTGAAGTGACCTGGAAGTTTCTGGGCTTAGCACTTTCAGCAGGTCTTGAACTAAGACCAGACTTGACAAACCCCAACCAGATAATCAAATATAATTATGGAAGAAAAGCCGAAGATTTTATAAATATTAGGTAGTATCAAAATAAAATTTTTATTCATTTAGTTTCTACATACAAAGTTACCCATGCACTTTCATGAAGGCAGCTAAGGATTCACCCCTAACTTCTAAACTTTGCTCTTATAAAGTTTTACTGGAACACAGCCATGCCGTTACTTACATTATTGTCTATAGAGGCCTTTGTTCAATAATGGCAGGGATCAGTAACTTTGGCAGAGACTGCCAAATTTTATTTATCTAGCCCTTTCCAGAAAAGATGGCTGACCTCTATTCTGAAAATGCCATGGCTTGGGTCAGGTGAACCTTGTTCCTGTAAGTGACATCTTTGCTTCTGAACACTTTCAAGAAGTCTTTGGCAACAGATTTGCCCAATGCACTATGCCTTTTGCTTTCTTGTCTGCTGCTTCTAAGAGTGATGATTGTAGGTCCAAATAAGAGAACATCCCTGACAACTTCAATCTATTTTTCCATTGATCATGATGTTACTAAAACCATTCCTCTTTCCTGTCTTAGGAAGTACAGGAGCCGGGGGTGGGGGGGTGGGCGGGTAGCAGTGAGATTTCTGCTTCACTCCACGGCTCTTGTACTTCCTCGGGAAGTATGGTCATTCGAGGTCATCCAAGTGGCCAGAACATGAATGTGACTGCAACCCCTAGCTCTCCATGCATCCTGATAATAGAAGAAGTAGACTCAATTTCCTATTGGCCAGTAAGGGAGTACCTCACGGGAAAAACCCATTTCATAAACTTCCAGAAAGGATTCACCCTAGGAAGTATCAATTGCTAACATTTACTAAAGATAAAAATTAAATGAATGATCTCTGAACAATAAATTGGTCCCATCCTGAATAAATTACCCTCTTTTGAGTACTGCCAGAGAACACTTTGGAATCTGAATTACGAGAATCAGAACATTCTGAACAGGCTATTTCTTTACATTATCAACGAAAAGGAATGTCACATGCAATTGTGCTCCCACCTGACGTGAACAGGGAGAACTTCAGGCACAATTACAGAAGAGAAAGGTATGCACAAGCTTTCCTGATTACCTATTTCATTTTTTTGTTTCAAATACTACATCTCCTTTAAAAACTGTAAAATTGAAAAATTAAACTGTACTAATGTGCTTGACACAATGGATGCATGTATGGATTGTGATAGTTGTATGAGCCCCCCACAAAATTATTTTCAAAAAAGAAAAAAAATAAACTGTGCTTTCTGCCCTAGGCTATACATGAGACTAATTCCCTGATATAGAAACACTTTATAAATCAAGCCGATATGCAGTGCAACCTCTAAACCTGGAGAGATTTCACGATGCTCTTTAGAAAAGGCATGCACTGTCATCTGGCAGGAGCCTTGGTAGCATTGTGGGTTAAGCATTGGGCTAATAACCATAAAGTCGATGATTCAAACCCACCAGCCTCTACAGGTGAAGGATGAGGTTGTCTGCGCCCATAAAGATTCATATGGTCCTACAGGCTCACTGTGTGTTGGAATCGACTCGATGGCAGTGGGCTCCCTTCTGTCTGAATCCAGATAAGAGAAAGATGCTCCCCTACACACTGGTTTGCACAGTCCTAAGACCTCGGTTTTCCTGCCTCCATGCCCAAACACTATCCTGGGTAAATTTCCCAGAACTGCACGTGTCAAAAACTTACGTGACAACTGGAACTGAGCAAGCAGAGAAGACACTGAAATCCGTGGGGCTGCAATCAGGATCACAGCAGCAGTTGACATCACACTGTGCTGGGGACAAGTCACACACACACAGAGCAGCAACTACAGTAAGGGGACAGGGGAGGACACAGCATCACCATCAGCAGGTGGTGACTGCCCTCTGCCACTACTATGTACTACAACAGGTTTCACACAAGGGTCTGTTATCTTCCCCACTGTATTTTGAAATTTGTGAATGAAAATTAAGTCAATTTGAGCACTCCTCAATCAGAGAGGTCCCCAAAGTGGCAAGTCTTCTGACTTACTTGGGGTCTGTCGGTCCTACCAACAGATGCTGATTCGATAAGCTGATCATAAGATCCAGGCATCTGTATCTCACAAAAATTCCCCAGGTGGTGCTTACAATTATGACAGGTTTCAGACCCAGCATGCTAAGTGGCTGGGCCTCACCTTACGGACCACTTGACCTTGAAATGGCAGCTTTCTCTAAATCCCCACTCTGGAACGTCTGATTCAGAGGAATGGCTGACCTAGGAAACAGGATTTTCAATCGTGTCCCTCTCACCATCCCTAACCTGTAGTCTTGTAACGGATCCCATCTTCACAAACCACTGGCCAAGAGTCAGAATGATTCAGGATTTAGTAGTTGAGGTTCTACAAATATTTTTGTAAATCAGACATTAAAAAGCCAAGAATGTCAATTTTAGGACTACAGTGTACCTGTCCTAAGCCATGGTGGTTTGAATGATTTTATATGCACATGAGAACTGGACAACGAATAGGGAAGATTGAAGAAATGATGCCTTTAAGTTACGGTGTTAGTGAAGAATATTGAATACCTCATGGATTGCCAAAAGGTGGTACTACGGCAGCACAGTGGGCTGCTAAGCACATGTTCAGTGGTTTAAATCCACTGGCTGATGGAGAAAAATGAGGCTTTCTGCTCCTGTAGATCGACAGCCTCTAGCGGGCAGTTCTACTGTGTCCTATCCGGTTGCTCTGACTTGGAATCAACATGAAGGCAGAGAGTTTGGTTTTGCCGGAAGGAAGTAGAGCCAGATGTGCTGCTCCTTAGAAGCAAGTATGGCAAGACTTGGTCTCATATACTTTTGACGTTATCCCCAGACCCGGAGGACATCATCCTTGAGCAAGTAGAGTGTCAGTGAGAACAAGGAAGGTCCTCACGGAGAGGGACTGACACAGTGGCTGCAAACACAGATGGAGGCATAGCAATGATTGTGAGGGCTGGCAGTGTCTTGTTCTGTGGTACACAGAGCCACTATGAGTCAGAACTGACTTGCTGCCACCTAACAATAACAGCAAATTAAGACAAGGTGTGTGTGTATACAGGAATCCCACCTACCAACATTTAAGTATTAGTAGTGATGGTTATCTGGATTTTTAATTCCCTATTCATTTTGTTAAAACAGAAACCTAAAAAAAATTTTTCCCAAACAATAGCATGCATGACAATGAGCCCCTGAATTCAAGGCCCTGATGACTGTCTGGTGGGACTGAGGGGTAGGGGAGAGGTCATTTGATCCATGTTTTCTTTTTTGTCAAAAGGATCTCAGCAAATATAGTATAAAATTCAGAGTTGCTAATGCTGCCAAAGGATCCACACAAGCATTTTTGTCTTTAGGGTTTAAGTATTTTCATGGACAGAAAGATATGCTTTCAAAACATCTACCCCCCAAAAGCAAAAACATTGCCTGGGGAAATAAAATGTGTTGGTGAGTGGAAGGGAAGGGTTTTATCAGAAAGGAAAGCCTTTCTCAGTCTGAGACACAAAAATTTTCCCTCCTAAGTTTACGTACTTCTCTCTAGCCAAGGACTTCTCTATGTGCTTAGTAAAATGATGATGCAAACTTGTGCAAGCAAATGTAAATAAGAACATTTAGGTTCCCTGACTTATGTGGCTAAGATTACAATCTTCTTTTCTGTAACTTAAAACCCTTGGAAGCAGCTTTAAGACTACTAAGGCAAAGCAATAGTGTTAAATAACTCCACTTGGGGAAAAATGGGTCTCCAACCAGGATGTAAGTGTACTTAATCAACCAGCAAGTATCTGCTGAGCACTGTAAGGGTCTAAGTAGCTCTCGGCTATTCTTCCACACCTATTACCACCTACATGCCTGCTTCTGAGAGAAGGGTGCTAATGAACAGAGCTCAGATTCAAGACCAACAGTCCCCACTCTTGCCTGCCACCAACACTGGCTGCAACCCATTCTGCAAATGACTGTCCCCTTTATTCAGAACCAGCCTCCTGCTCGAGTATTTCCCAGCAGTGTGGCCTTACACAAAGCAGGGACTTCACCCATCTGAAAACCTAGGGGTAACATCATGGAGTGTTATAAGAGAGACATGTGAAACATCACAGATGAAGTATTTAGCACAATGCCTACCATGTAGTCAAACACCCCCTCACTGCCTTAGAGTTCACTCCAGCTCACTGCGGCCCATAGGATGGGGTACAGATGTTTATTAGGGTTTCTGAGATGCTTAGTTTTTATGCAAACAGACACAATGGTCTTCTGAGGAGCCGCTGGTGGGTTTGAAACACGGACCTTGAGGTTAGCTGCCCAACACTTACAAATGACAGTTATCATTCCTGTGGCAGGTCTAAAGAGCCATCCTTTACAAAGACGAGGATAGATATAAATGTAATGGAAAAAGAGCCCTGAACCTAAGCCATTCATTTGGGAAGGACTTTCCTATTAAATGCCGAACACCTTGCCTTATTCTGTCTTAATTTATTACTGATTTAACTTCCTTAGTAATTGGTCATATCAAGTTTAAATACAAAGCAGTTTTGTTCCTAACTATTAAATGAACAAAGATACTTCACTGTATTTTTTTCTTAGGAGCCTGGGTGGTGCTCTGGTATAAGTGTTGGACTGCTAACCACTTGGTGGGAGAAAGACGATCGTTATGAGTTGGAATCGACTTAATGAAAATGAGTTGTTGGGCTTTGGGGGGTACTTTTTCTTACAAACCACTCATAATTTATAATGTAGGCCATTGGGAGAATAGTCATCTGATAATGACTTTTCTAGTTAATCCTGGGAGCCCTGGAGGTGTAGTGGTTATGTAGTTCGAAATCACCAGCAGCTCCAGAGGAGAAAGATGAGACTTTCTATTCTCATAAAGTTACAGTCTCTGAAACCACAAAGGGTTGTTCTACATAGGGTTGCTTTAAGTCGGAATCAACTCGATGGCAGTAAGTTTAAGTTTTTTGAGTTAATACTGAGCCTTATCCAACTTCAGAAGGGATACTGTTTTCTTAAATGGAGTCAAAATATACTGAGGTAGCTCTCAGTATTCAGTCAGGAAATCTATCGCATCTAACCACCTATCTCTTTAGAGATCTAAATGCCTTTGAAAATCTTCTGTTTGCCATGAACTCTCACCCCAGAAAAAAAGTATATACAAAAGAATTTGCACTCAATCTCAGGGGGTCATGGGCACTCCCTAAAGTCAGCCATGGCAAATCAGATTATAAAAGTCATTACATGTAACTTGTTTTACAGCATCCTATTTTGAGATACGTTAATTACCCCTACACAGTTGAACCTGGAACAAAACCCCTTCTCCCTTCACAGTTAACAATCCACATATAACTTGCAATACCCCCAGAAGTACTGATAGCCAACTGTGGACCCTACCAATCATATAAACAGAACGCTAACATCTACTTTGTATATTATCTGTATTAGATACTGCACCCATATAAAAGCTGCATTTTCAATATGAGATAAAAGGTGTCTCGCCAAAAGGGCAATGTTTTCATACCTGCTGCATACTCTTGCAGCAATGGCATTATAAATTTCCTTTTTTTAAAACTGGTCCTTACCCTGGACTCCTTTATCTTTAAATACAGACCTCTATCTATGCTACAGATCAAGCACTTCAGCTTTTTCTGGTAATGCCCTGAGCTTGCTTCTTCGGAGTACTTCCCACATCGCTGGTGACACTTCCTACGGGTCCCAGGTGTTACTCACTGTTTGCGGTAGTGCACTGATCACAATGAAAATACTCAAATACTCAAGGACCTTATGAACTCATTTTACTGAGAAACACAATTCACAGAAGAGACAAGTGGCTCACACAGAGATGGAAGATTCGCATCTAAGTCAGTGGTTCTCAACCTTCCTAATGCCTAGACCTTTCGTACAGTTCCTCATGTGGTGGTGACCCCCCAACCATAAAATTATTTTCGTTGCTACTTCATCACTGTCATTTTGCTACTGTGATGAATCGGGTAACCCTGTGAAAGGTCGTTCGACACCACCATCCCCAAAGGGGTCGCGAACCCGATGGAGAACCGCTAATCTAAGTGGTCTGGAACAATTGAACCGCACGTTGTTCAAAGGTCACTGGCATATGAATCCCCCTAATCCTAACCCTCACCAAATACATTCCTATGACGAACAACACCAGAGGAATCCTGAGCGTTGAAATGTAAAGGCTGTGACCTAGGAAATATTTGTGAACTAGACTTCTGGTATCGCTTTAATACAGTAAGTTAAAGAAGGCATCCTACTACCCATTTGACTTCCGATTCGAATGTATGTCCTTTCGCATTCCTATGACTACTGTTCGAAAATCCTTGCGCCATCCAGCTCTCTGAGCCTCTGTTTCCCGCTTTATATAAAGGGGGTACTCACAGCTAACTCAGGGGTTGTTGGGAGAATTACACAATGCCTAAGAAACATTCGGAGATGCCTGGCGCACAATGTGTTCAGCAAACATTAGCTATCGCCCTCATTAGTACAACCTCTCACGGATCATTCTGGGCCCCAGGAGTTGGCACTTTGTACCCACCGTCGGTGATCGGGGTGGGCCTGGGACCGGATGAGCGGTCTGGCGCCCTAGGGGTGGCAGGGGGCCGAGACGACAGGGAGACTCCGAGCGTGGCCGGGGCTGCCTCGGTGGAGCTGAGGCCCTCCGTCGTTCCCACAGGGGTGGCCCCCGTCTGCGTGCTTACCGGGGCCCAGCGGCCCAGGAGCACGAACACCTGCAGAAGCGGCTGGAAGGCCCGCGGCCCCATCGCCCAGCTGACGTGAGCGCAGGTCAGACCGCGGACCCCGCGTTGCCTGGCAACCGGGCAGCCGGGCGCGGTGCATCACGGGAAGGAGTGCGCGAAGCCGCGCGAGACGGCGGGAAGCAGGGGGCGTGGACATCCCGGCAGCTCTTCTATGCAGATTGCCGGGTTCCACCCTAGGAGATCCTGCTTCCCATAGGTTTGGCGTAGACCCCGGGAATCAGGATTCCTAACAACGTCCTGACGTATCCGGTGAGGAGACGCGACGTTAAGAACGGAGAGGTCAATACTACGTCCTCTGAGTCCTGTGGAAAAACGCGAGCGCCGCACGACCATCCTTGGACTCAAGTCTATTCGGGGGGGAGCCCCCTCGACCTTGGCTATGCTTTTTTTGATGTTTGCATCCCGGGAGGTCAGCAAGTCACTTCTAGCGTGATGTGGTAAGGGGAACAATCGAACGCTTAACTTTTCCAACTGACAAAAAACATTGACAAAAATTAGGTAGAATAATTTTTAAATCTCACAGGAAGAAACAAAGCAAATCTACTTTAATTCTGCAAAGTGATACGGTGACCACGAGACGGAAATCTTTGGATTCTAAACTGGCATAGTTACCAAGGGAACCTGATTATACGTTGAACGCTTAATATCCTTACAGTTCAGAAGCAGATGTCAAAATATTAAAACATATCCTAGTACTTACAAGAAACGTATTTGCCAATTCAGAAAAATGCCAAAACGGCACATACACCTAGTTTATTAAATATATTCCGCAAACCTAAGCCCTCCAAGTAACAGCTTTAGCATCTTTCTGTAGCATTTCAGAGAAAGTGTATAGAAACGTAGTTCGATCTCTCAAATGTGTAACAGAATTTACAAAATTTTTCTTCAACAGATTGCTTTAGCATCTGAAATTCACTTTTAATACGGATGAAAACTTCCCTTAAAAAAACAAATGCTATGTTTTCCAAGCTTGAATCTCATAACTTCTAAATCCAGGACTTATAAAAAAGAAAAAATTTCCCCAGGATTTCATGTTTTGTTTTTTATTCCTTAAACTTCTAAAGACCAAATCATTTTCTGCCTTGATTTTTTAAATTTTGCTTATGGTTTTTGTTGAAACCATATATCTTCAGTAATGACAGGCATTTTGAATAAAATGAAAATTATATAGGAATATGGATTTTCATATAATTAGTAGGACAGATATACCCTAGGGGTCTTGGGTGCAAGGGGTGGAATGAGGCCCCTTTCTTCAGATTCATAAAACTATACAGATCTCCCACCAGGTGGCAACACACAAAGTGGGATGGAAGGCCCCCACTAAACCTGAGAGGTGGACAATGGCAGTGAGCACTGTGTGTGCCCTGGGTCACAGAAGAGTTAACATATATAAACCACTCAACCCTACTTTCTGTTTTGAAATCTCAAGATTAAATGTTGATAAAGTGCCCTGTGACTTTAACATTTTTGTGTTTATGATGATATGACCTCTGAGCTCCTCTTCAAATCTCTCAAGGCCATGACTCCCGCTTTGAGAAATAATCTTATCTCCCCTTCTTGTCCCATCAAACACTTAGTGGATGACCAGTAACATCCTAGATGATAACATATTACATACTTGGAATAACGGTTGCATCCACTTTGTCAGAACCTCTTTGCCAACCTTAGGAAAACTGTACCTTTCCTTTCACAGGTGCCTGGTTTCTGTCAGGTGAGCCAAGCTTTTGAAATCTTTGAACCTAGAGGATCATTCTCTCTTTCTTCTGCCTGCCCTTAGCAAGTTACCTTATTCAGCCTGATATTTTTCCCCCTGTTTTGTCCCACATTGGCACAATGGGTTAGGCGGTGGGCTCCTAACCAAAAGATTGGTAGTTCAAACCCACCAGCTGCTCTATGGAAGAAAGATACAAGTTTGCTTCTGTAAATATAACCTCATAAATCTTATATGGAGTTCTACCCTGTCCCATAGGGTCACTGTGAGTCAGAATCAACTTGATGGCAGTGGGTTCGGTTGTTTTGTTTCTTTACAGCATCTAGGGCAGTGGTTCTCAACCTTCCTAATGCCGTGACCCTTTAATGCAGTTCCTCATGTTGTGGTGACCTCCCAACCATAAAATTATTTTCATTGCTACTTCATCACTGTCATTTCGCTACAGTTTTGAATCGGGCGACCCCTGTGAAAGGGTCGTTCAACCCCCAAAGGGGTTGCAACCCACAGGTTGAGAACCACTGATCTAGGAGATTCATACATATTTGTGATTTAAGATATCCATCTATTTCACTGGGATTGCTGGCATTCTCCATTCTTTACAGCCTGTGCCAACTGCTTTAGGAGCAGTAAAGATAGTTCAGCTTGGAAGTCTCTGCTTAGAAACTGCTGCATATGAAGAGCCTGATAAAGCGAAGACATAGGAGTAGCTAAAATCCACCCAACCCACAGCCACAGGGTTCCCAAGCCTACAAATCCATCTGGAAGCAGTTGGCTTCTTCCTTTTCTTGTAGAGCAGCTAGTGGGTTTGAACTGCTGACCAAATGGAGCCACCCAATACTTAACTCACTGTGCCACTAGGACTCCTTTAGGAGTAGCTGGGGCAGGGGGAGTTATGGCTTGCTTTATAAGGCAATGTTAAGCACTCATCATAATCTTTGGTATAGTCTGAGATGAATGTATTATTACCCCAGTCATGCGAATGCTTATATATTGACAGTTCATTCCTTTTTATTGTTGACAAATATTTCATGATAGAGATACTACAATTTGTATATCTATTCACTACCGAAAGGAAGTCCTAGATTGAGGCAATTACAAATAAAGCCACTATAAACATTCACATACAGGTTTTATAAGAACATTGATTTCATTTCTCTTGGGTACATACTTAAGGAGTGAGATTTCTGGACTGTATGGTGAGTGTATGTTTTACCTTATAATAAACCGCCAAACTGTTTTCCAAAGTGACTGCCCATTTTGCATTGTTCAGCAATGTGTGAGTTCCAGTTGCTCCCTGTACTTGTGAGCACTTTCTATGGTATCTAATTACCATTGTTGTCATTTTTGTTCTTAGCCGTTCTCTAAAATGTGTAGTATTATCAGTAGTAGTATTAGTATTGCAGTCTTACTAGTTGACTTACTAAATCCAATCACCTGTTAAGGGTACATTCACGTTGCACTTTCATTTTGGGAGTGCTCAAAAGAGTGATTTGCTATATCCAAGCATTTCAATGTTAATGTTACTTTGAACGAATCAATGTTATAAGAAGAAAGGAATTCATTTTTCTGTAGAGAAGGTGCTTTAAAAAATGGAAGTGAGCAGTCTCACAGTGTCTAAGCCATGCTGCTCTCTCCTTTCCTCCCCCACCCCCACTTGAGTTTCTAACATTCTGTGTTGTAAACGTGTTTACATCGGTGACCTCAGGGCCTGCAGGTAGTTCCTCTTTTGTTCACTCTTCACCGACATCCTGTTAGTGAGTTCTTCTTGAGACCTGAAAGAATTTTGCCCTGCCATGCGGTCAGGCAGCTCTGCTGCAACTTGTTTTAAAGCATTTACCTTTTGTTAACTTGAATTAGAAAAAATGTGGAGGCCAAAGAAAAGAAAGCACTAGACTGGATGAGCCTGTGCCAAACGCAGCAGCCTCGCAATGTTGAGTATGGTTTTCATGTGCAAAATCAAGAGCCATAATCTGGCAAGCATAAATATATTTCTAACAACAATCAACATTTTGGAATGTTCTGGAAACATCAGAGTTATTACAGCCATTGCCACAGATGGAACAAATCCTACTTCCCAAGTCGTGAGATTCCCCTCTCTCCAACTCCATTATTGTCAGTTTATCCAGGAGGATTAGAAAAAAATGAAGTTTATTCAGGTCTGTTTGAAAGAGACATCACTCACTAATCCATTTCCATCTTCCAGAAAGGATTTGCTATCTTACAAGCAGTCATCTCATCTCTCATTCTTTATGCTGTGGGTTTATACCTTGTTCTTAAGCGTTAGATTTGGAACCTCCAGGTGAGTGGTTCAAACCCCACAGCCACTCCTAGGGAGAAAGATGAAGCTGTCTGCTCCCATAAAGATTTACAGTCATGGAAGCCTAATGCAGGGTAGCTATGAATCAGAACCAACTCGATGGCAGTGAATTTGTTTTGGAGCATCATTTTAGTAGTATTTCAGGACGACATGAAGATCATTTGAGGGGTTCACTCCTCTGTGTTTCCATAGATTTCACTTTTTAGTATCATACGTAGAGAGGCAATGAACTTAACAAAAAAAATCCACACTCTGGGGTCTGTTAAAATCTCCAGTTCTGCCAATTGCTATCCGATCATGCTATTTTGACCAAGCTTTCTGTGTTCACATACACACTCATCTGTACATAATTGTGTGTGTTAGTAGATAAAGAGATTAGAGCTCCTTAATTATTCTGCCTAAATTAAAAGGGGAAAAATAGATTATCTTAAAATCTTCATTTGGAATTAACGGTCTTTTCTTCCAGGTTTAGCAAATCTAGAACCCTGATATTAAAGCACGTAGCAGCTAACCAAGAGGTTGGCAGTTTGAACCCACCAACCACTCTGTTTCCATAAAGATTACAGCTTTGGGAACCCAAGGGGCAGCTCTACTCCGCCCTCTATCTGCCCCAAAGGGCTAGCTATGAGTACAGTTAGACAAGGTTGGTGGTTCAAATCCACCAGATGCTTCTCAGGAGAAAGATGAGACTATGGGCTCCCCATGAGACTATCTGGTCCCTTTAAGATTCACAGCCTCCGGGAATCCTTGTGAGTCAGAACAGACTACTAACATGGCAGTGGGTTTTTTTGGTTTACCAATTCTGAACCCTGCAGTTTCATTTTTACCCTACAGGTGGCAGCCTCTATCACCAAAACTTGGTTAATCTCACCTGACCAGCTGAGAAAAACACTTTCATTGGCTAAGCAACTACTATGTGCCCAGGAGCCAGAGAGAAAGCCATGATCAAGCACCGTGGAGGCACTAGGGGAGCACTGAGAGTGGAGA